AGTTGAAAAGTGCTGAAATTCCCAGAAAAATAATGGAATCGGAATTTCCTGGTAATATGCACATCTACACATTGTGTCCTAAATATCTGCAAAGTTTGACCAAATTCTGTGCAGCGGTTTAAGAGGAGTTTTGCTGACAAACTGTTCATCTTTATATTGAAGATATGGCCAAAAATCTAAGTTGAAAAGTGCCGAAATTCCCAGAAAATATAAAGGAATCGGAATTTCCTGGTAATATGCACATCTATACATTGTGTGCTAAATATCTGCAAAGTTTGACCAAATTCTGTGCATTGGTTTATGAGGAGTTGCGCTGACAAACTGTTCATCTCCATATTCAAGATATGGCCAAAAATCTAAGTTGAAAAGTGCCGAAATTCCGAGAAAAAATAAATGAATCGGAATTTCCTGGTAATATGCACATCTACACATTGTGTCCTAAATATCTGCAAAGTTTGACGAAATTCTGTGCAGCGGTTTATGAGGAGTTGCGCTGACAAAAAAACAGGACTGACGGACTGACTGACTGACACACTGACTGACTGACGGACGGGTCAAAAACATTATACCTCACGCAACTTGTTGCGTGGGGTATAAAAATTCAAATTATTTCTTTCAAGGTGTAGATTAAACTTGTTCTTAGTATTCATGATATTGTTGCTATCACGGTCATCTTAAAAATAATTAATTAACAAACTAAGATATACACACCATTTCAGAATCTTTGTCCTCTTCTATATAAAAATCATACGACATGGTGAAGCTTGATTTACTCAGTCTACTGAAATGGAAAAAAAATCATTTTAATACTTCAGTCTTGATATTTTTCTTTACCATTAAATGTTTTGCATCATCTTTGTTATTATATTGAAATTATATACCTTAACACTGTTTAAAAATATTTTTCTACATTTATTTATTCCCTAAAAAAAAAAAAAAAAAAAAAAAAAAACAATGATAACTTTTTTTGCTTTGGTCTTACAACTTCATTGTTGATCAGTCTGTCAACACAGAATTGTAAGATTGTATCATCACTGTTATCAGTTATGTCACAAGTAGGTAGTCATCATTTTAAATCAACATCAACAACAAGGAAATATTCAAATAAGCCATTTGAAAGCTGGCATCTTAGGAAAATTAATGCCCAGAACATTGACCTCCCAAGAACATGAAGAATTAAAATGATTCCACAGACAATATTTCATTGACAAGTGAAAATAAAGTGCCCCGCCACAGCATGATACGCCCGTCAAACATTGTTCAATTCTCATAAACAGTTTAGAATGCAAGAAAATCATGACAACCTTGATTCAAAGATTTCCATGATTTTTCCATTCCTTATAATATTTGCTGTTTATACATCTCCTGTAGTGTAGGTATTAATTATAACAAATATTACATCATAGATTTCTCAACTGGTTGTGTCAGAGCTAGACAAATGCCACTCTGCAATCCCTCCCTCCTCATCATTCATATTATTTGTTTGATATTTTCAATAAATTAAATAAAAATATCATATTAAACAATATCAAATTAGTCTTAAGAATTTAATCTACATCAAATTATTTTTGAAAATAAAAAGCTGGCTATCAAATGAAATATGCTATAAACTGACAAGTAGATCTTCTGTCTAATTCTCAAAGGATGCAAATAAGAACTGCTTGATCAGAGATGCTTTAACAGAAATGATTGAGACAGCTAGCCCTACATTGAACTCATTAATTAATTATAATCTTTAACTGGATGCATGTCCACTCATTACTCCCGATGGGATGGAATGGATCTGCACTATCTGCTTTGTAGTCTGAATTGCAGTAAAAATGCATATTTATGTGTTTCTGATGAAAACAGAGATTTTTTTAATTTGTTACAAAGATTTATAAAAAGAAACAAAAACTTGGGTAATTTTGATGCAACACTATTGGTAACTGCGTGACTCTTAGATTTGTAGGGACTATCTACCATAAATTTTTTTTTGAAAAAATACTTGATTTTCTTTTTAGATTAAGCTACAGTGCATGCAGACATATGGACATGCTGATTCCAATATCCCCCCCCCCCCCATATAATTGATTTTAATTATATTTTAAGATATCAAATATCAAATTAGTTTATTTTACAATATAAACATAGGTAATCAGAGATTACAGAGCTCACCTCAACGAATGTTGTCTTTAAGTAAGACAAAGTCCCACACTAAACTAATGATCTAGTAGTGTGCATCCCTAAATGCAACATATATGCAATTTTGGTCTGATATGGCTTGCTGCTTGGGAATGGACTTATTTAAAAACTTAAAACTAGTCACTCATCCAGAAAATGCGAGTCAAATCTAGCATATAGATAACACCTGTTGATCAGAGATGCTCTACCAGTTATCTCCTCACACCACTAAACTCATTAATTTCTCTCTAATTTGACATGCAATTTTCTGTTATCAAAATTCTCCTTAACCAGTGCTTGATAATTACACCTACCGTTCACGGTAGCTCAGTCGGTAGAGCGCTCGCTCCGTGATCGGGAGGTCGTGAGTTCGAATCTCGGCCGCGACAGACCTAAGTCGATAAAAAATAGGTAGCAACTGTTCCTTCGCCATGCGCTCGGCACTCTGAAGTGAAAGTTGCGGGTCCTTCGGATGAGACCTTAAAAACCGAGGCCCCGTGTCACGGCAGGCGTTGGCACGATAAAGATCCCTCACTGCTCAATGGCCCTGAGTGCCGAGTAAAGGTCAAAATTTGAAGCCCTTCACCGGTATATGGTGACGTCTCTATATGAGTGAAAAATTCTCGAATGGGACGTAAAACAATATACAATCAATCAATCAATCATGATATTTACACCCATGGGAGAGGTGGAATTTCTCTTATAACATTACATTTGTTATAGATTGCTGTAAAGTATATTTTGGAAAAAAAAAATTAGTATTTTCTTGAATTAACACTTTTTAATATTAAGGATACTACAACACTCTTTCATTTTTTTGGGATGGTGTAATTCGATAGTATAGAGACTAGGGATGTGCGATTTTATCGGTATACCGGTATATCGCGATTTTTTATTGCGTGATACGTATCGTGATACGGAGACTAAAATACCGGTATTTGGTACATAACTATAAATTCCAGAAATTATTCATATATTTGTTCAAACTATTGAATGACAATTACAGGAAGTGTAAAAAAATGTTGAAAACAGTTAAACAACGGCATCCAAACATGCTTTTTTTCAAGATTTTTCCTATGTATTCCAATGTAAAACTTTCATTGTTCTTTGTAGCCCTACCCTGACCCGGGGGATCATGATTTTAAAAAATTAACTTGAATCTTCACTACCTGAAGATGTTTCCACATAAGTTTCATCTTTCTTGGCCTAGTAGTTCTGGATAAGAAGATTTTTCCAATCTATTTTCTGTGACATAAGAATAAATTTACATGCTAAATGAGGCACCAATGTGACTGACAAACCCACCAATCAGCTAAATGAGTTGCATTATGAGTTACTACAAAAAATACTACATGTATGCAGTGTTCGAAATAACAGTGCACCCCTCCCGAGACGCACAAATTTTGCCATGGGCGAACAGATCTGCACTACGGCTGTATCAATATATATATACGTATCGATATTCAAGAATGTATCGTATCGAAAAAAATAACTTCCAATTCGTATCAGGCAGGCAGTTTTTCTTATAATTCTGTGAAAAAGTTGGGAATTTCAATCACCAAAGATTATATCTATCCTTTTTTTAATTAAAACTGATCAATAATTACATAAACATGATGGAGATAGGACATAACAAATAAGTACATGTATTACAAAATACATGGACAACTATATTTTAACATGTTGGTTTTACAGTCATTAATAAGTTTGAATTTGAAGTGTATTTTGTAATGATAGTGATCAGAGAAGAACTTAGAAGTGGGTTATAAAACACTGAGTTTTTAAAAAATATATACATTAAAAGATTTACAAGACTTTTTTGATAGACTTATTAAAGAATCCAATATATTGCATAAAAATTGTATCGTATTGTATCGAAAAATTTTGGTCAATACTCGTGACTATTCCCTCGTCCAAAACAACCGAGTCTGAAGTGAATGTATGATATACCAAATAACATAGTTAGAATAATCTAACTGTGTCTCGGGACAGGCCCTTAGGACATTTATCATTTTAATGATAGAACATTCTATGTAGTGTAGACTTTGTATGCAGCATTTCAACATACTATCTAACACAGAAAATTGTTTGTTAATGTGAGTATGAGAAATCCTAACTATAGTACCCTTTCTTCGTATTTTTCCAAAACATTAAAATAATTACAAGTTGACTTTCCCGCAGCAATTTGAAATTGCCTCCTAAATTTGCCTGGTCCATGTGTTTGTAGTAAAATATAAATATGAAGTAGACCATCAAGCCTTTCCGCTCATTCATTTTAATAGGGATTTTTAAGAAGTTTTTTTTCATTTTGGTAGTCGTATAAACAGCTGCACTTTTAAATACGTCTAACAAATATATTTTGCATGAATGCTATTAGTACGCGACAGAATATTCTTTCGTATATACAGTGTATAAACAGTATCGTGCAATTAACACGATAAAGAATGCAAGTACATATACAAGATACATAAAGAATATAAATAATTTGTTTAAAACATAATACTTACCATTAGAAGTCTACACAAGTCTTCGAAATCAATCGGCAAAATTCAATGTTGATGAACACAGCTGGCTTCTTCAAAATTCAAATTTTCGTGTAACCTCGTATCTTTCCGCCACCACTTCCGGTTTTCTTAAAGTCGTCATTTTATTCTTTTATTTTGAGTGCAACACATATCTAACAAAAAAGTTTTTATTTTTGCTAACAAAGAAATAATATCAACACAAACTATTTGTAAATAAATCTATTGAATTTCATTCGGTACATTTCGCTTTTGACGGAAACAATCGAAACAATCTAATTGGTCTAAGAAGTCACGTGGTATTTGGTACTGAAAACAGGGGAGACGAAGAAGATGAAGAAGTTTGCGGTTATCAACTTTGTGAAGGAGAAAAACGTCGGGGTTGCACCTTGTGACTGGTTAGATCGTGACTGTGACGTTAATGAAACAGTTATTGTCAATTGGGAAGAGGGAAAGAAGAAATCACCGTATGATGTAGTGGTCCTGGGATTTTCAGGTCGGTGCATATTATCCCCCTTAGACGCCATTTTGGATGTTCAAATCCATTAATTAAAATTTTGATAAGTATCACAGTATTTTTGATAATTTGAGAAGAAATTAAACAGTTTTTTCAGGGCTTTTTACAGTTATATTTATACAAATGTGTATTTCTCTATTATTATACATGTATCTATACATCTGACCAAGTCTGGCCCCGATCAAGACAAGTAATGAAGCATTAAGGTCAGACGACACGTTCCTCAAAAACATATAACTTTTCCCAATATTTTGTGATTGAAATATTGCTACTTTAAGAAGTTCCCTCACAAGAAATTGGGATACATTACCAGGCATTTGTGCAAGATTCTGTAGATGGTATTTCCAATATAATCCTATACTAGAAATCACTTGAACTGCTGATGTTACTTTTTTGGTGGTATTACAACATGTACAAAGGTATTCAAAACAGATATACGAGGAATGTGTCGTCTGACCTTAAGATGTTGAATATCTTGAAGTCTCTCGAATATACACCTAAAAAGTTGAAATTATGTTAAATATAAGCACATGACGAAAATTTGTTCTGTTATCAAAATGATTGGGAGTTGCACTTATTTGAAATTTTTGACTTCTCGGATGTTGATATGTCTGACAGTAGATTTTGTTTAAAGACAGATATTTTTAATCGATCCTATTTTGTAATTGAATTGTTATGGGTACCTATGAAATAGTATAGTCATGTTAGTGGTAAAAAAGAGAGACCTGATTTTAAATTTCCTAATAGGTCTTGCACAATCTCTTGAATTAGCTATATAGCTTGATTTTGCTCCATTGATTGAAATAGTTATATAGCTTTATTGAGCCCTTACTATTAATAGGTAGCAGTTTTCAAAGGTCCATCTGATGAGATTTGTTGTACTAAAATGACTGCAATATAAATTATAAGTGAAAGTAAAAGGGAAAAAAAATCTAGCAATATCGCTGAAAATTCATTGCGCACACAGCGCTATCAATGGTTGATTGTAACAATTTTCACTTCAGTGTGACTATGACGCACACCCTTCCCAATTTGTAAATGATCCCAATTTAAAGTGTTATTTTTTTATGTAAGTGTAAAATGCTCTAAGAAAATCTCAGAGTGTAGTGTACATGTCAAAATTAAGAAGAGACCTTTCAGCTGTACTCAAGGTAATTATCTCTTAAAGCAGCATAAGCCAATTACCCAGAGAAAATTTGTTTAAACAACATGTTTCATTGTAAAACCTGCAATGTTTACATATAGATTTATTTTGTTTTTGATTAATTATTTACCCTAAAATGCTATAAACTAAAAATAAAATTAAAAAAAAAAAACAGGGTTCAAAATTCACTTTATGTAACTTGCAAAATGTGAGTTAAAATATCCCAATTGCGAGTTAAAAAATTTGATAACTTGCCAAAGATTGCAAGTTGATTTGTGACATTGTAACTTTTCCTGCAAAAAAAGTCCGTTCCTTCCCATTTTCAGTTTTGTTTGCTACTGTTTACATTTCCGCCATTTTTAATTACCAGCATGGCGAATCAGAATGCGAAAGTTACCATGCTTTGAAAACGACAGGTGGAGGTGCTTATGGTAATATATTGAAAAGCACCAGCGATGATATTCATGTGCTTTAAAAAAGAAGTTGAGAATGGTCAACATGATTAAGCACCCTTTCAGTGTTGTACATTCATCACCTATTTTTACTGATTTATTTACTTGGAAACATATTATTATTAAATTGCAAAATGAAACTCCAAAACTAAAATCTGGAGAACAACTTATTTATTTATTTATTTTGTTACCAGGGTATTTATTTTTTAATTGTGAATTCTTTATAATGTATACAACACTTAAAAGCAATCAGTGTTTGTAATTGTTTATAATTTTGTTCAAATATCTATTGATTTAATCACATATATAAATCTTTTTCTTTTCACAACATCATTTCTAATGAAGCCATTCTGTAATTTTGCGATCTTTCTGGCTTTGTACAAGCAAATTCGCTACATATCCGATGATGAGTCTCGGAGATAAATTTTGCAGATTCTGATATTTGGATATTAAATCTTGATTTATTTTAATAAACTACAGAAGTTTTGCTGGCTTAACCTGAAATTTATTACTTTCCTGTTTGGGTAAGTTTATCATGAAAACTATTTTTCCCGAAATGTCATTTCACTTGCCCCGGCACTGGGAAAGTGAAATTCTAGACCCCGGCTGCAAATCAATAGCTTGAGTAAAAAACAGTGAGACTGCAGTTGAACATGTATTTTGTGTATTTTACAGAAGTTAATTTATCTTTAATCGGGTTTTATCCATTTATAATGATTTCTAGGTAATAAGTCACATCTAATGTTATATAGGGAAAAATCAGTAGAGGTATAATAAACTTAATTAATGATGATAGTATTTACACTCTGGATTGCGGTTTGACTGTTTGATACATATTCATCTTGTCGTTTTAGGTTAACTTTATTTACATTATTTTTTAATGATGTATTTCATTTAATAGATCAGTAATGAAAAGATTGATTGATTGATTGATTAGGGTTTAACGCCGAGTCAGCAATATTTCAGCCATATTTCGGCGGAAAATTAATTCTGTATGATCGGTTTTGAAAGATTTTTGGTTTCTCTGGCGGCCCCCAGTGAGCCTACTCTTTTCCGAAAACCAGAAAAACGATCTTTTGCGTGCCAAGGGGGTTGCAATCCTTGACACGGGGCACCATTTAACGTCCCATCCGACGGACTTAAAAATTTAAAAATATTTTAAAAGTTTAAAATAAATCTCTCTCTATGTTTATCAAAAAATAATTACATTGTGTACCTTTAGATTTTACTGTAAAAATCAGTTTCATGTAAATAATCTAAAATTGTATTAACATTAACATTTGTAAACAGTTCACGCATCGTTCGTACATTATTGAAAAGTCTACTTCGAATAGGCGAAAAATCAGAACATTCTAAAAGAATATGATTTATAGTAAGCGGACAGTCACAGGATATACATTCTGGCTGAAGTTCTCGATTTAATAAGTATGCATGTGTTATTTTAGAATGACCTATACGTATTCTTGAAATAATCACTTCGTCCTGACGTTTCAGGCCGAAGTTAGATGATATGTTAACTTTGTTTTCTATTGCATATAGTTTACTTGTATCACAAAATTCCCAATATATCTGCCAAAGAGAATTTACATAACGTTTCACAATATATTTTAGGTCAGTATAAGGGATTTTAAAAATGGTAATTTCGTACTGAAGTGCCAATTTTGCAGCACTATCAGCCTTAGTGTTTCCAATGATGCCAATATGACTTGGAATCCAACAAAAGTCAACTACTTTACCTTGTTGAGTGAAATGATAGAACTGAACTAATATATCTAAAATGTATGGTTGATCGATATTCATATTTTGTATAGATTGCAAGCAAGAAAGCGAGTCCGAAAATATTGTAAAAGAGTTGTCATTAGAAGATTTAATATATTCAAATGCAAGCTGTATGGCTTTTGCCTCTGCTGTAAATATTGTAGCTTCATTTGGAAGCCTGAAAGAGAAAACATTATTTTTATTCACTGCAGCCGCTGCTACTTTATTTTTGTCTTTAGAACCATCTGTATAAATTTCGACTGTAGAATGTTTAGATTGTTTTATTTCGGCTAATTTTTGTTTAAAAACAAGAGAATTGGTTTCTGATTTCTTAAATTCAGTTAAAGATGTGTCTACATTTGGTTTAATTAATTTCCATGGCGGTATTTCAGAGAAACTTGTAGGTTTTATAATGTCCAAAGGTAAGTCAGAATCCCTGATATGTTTCCTAGATCTTAGACCAATAGGTTTTATACATGTTTTACTTTTATCATATAAATTTTCGTACTGCGGATGAAAAACACAATCATAAGCAGGATTATTAATATTTGCCTTCAATTTGAGAATATACTGTAAGGTAAGTTTGATTCTTCTTAAGTCCAGCGGTGGCTCATTTGCTTCAACGTATAGACTATTTACAGGGCTTAAACTTTATGTTTTCCAATGTTTCCCTGTTTAGGCCAAAATAAAAGTCTTGTTTCCTGCTACCTGACCGACCCTATTTTTTTGCACCATAAAAAGTTTTTTTTAGCTTTGGAAGAAAAAAAAATCGGAAATTTCTGGACTTTCATCATTCTGTCCCCGTAATCGGTTTCAGTGTTAACACAAAACAAGCATTTCATGAAATTTTAAGTTTTAAATATAGGGACTTTCATTAAATACCACTTGAGTTGTGCAGCAAAAGACATGAAATTTAATTTTAAAAGACAATATTGACCTGTGACATGTTTAATTTTATCTTGTATTAGTTCATATCCAAAAAATGCTGTCAGAAAAAATAAAATAATGAAATAAAATAATTTCTCTACCTACCTACCCTATTTTTTTCAGGCGGGTAGCAGGAAACAAGACTACTGTTATTTTTTTTTTTTTTTTGGCCTTAGAGGAAATGAGTTAAGTTTTTTGCAGGATGGGAAATTGGTTCTGGTAATCATTCCCCTAGTGCTATTTCTGGGCAACCCTTATTCTATATAACTTAATAAAGCTATAAAACTACATGAACTAATTCAAGCTATGTAGCTAAATCAAGAGAATGTGCTGGACCTGCTTAAAACAATGCCCTGTTTATTGAAGTATATATGTATTAACTGACAGATGACAGAGAAGATGCAGAATCAATGATGGATAGATATATTGAGACTGGGCGCTTAACAGAGAAAAGGAAAATGTCAGTGGGATTTACTGACCTCAGTGATTCATCAGATGATGAGGTATTAATATATATTTGCTTTTAAAATATAAGTATAAACACTTCAAAGATGACTATAAGAACATATAACTAAATCTGTATTGTGTGGGTTGGCTTCATTAAAAACTTATTATATATTCCCCCTCCCCCTTCCAAAGGAGAGGGGGGTATACTGTTTTACCCTTGTTTGTGTGTCTGTAACAAATTTTTGTCACAGTTTTCTCAGCAACTACTTATTGCAGATGCTTGAAATTTGAGCACACTCTTTGTTCAGGCATGCCATTTGATGGGATTCATTTTTGTATAAAATCCATGTCAACTTCCTGTTAATCCGTACATCTGTCAATACCAAATTTCCGTCACAGTGACAATAACTACTCATGCATCGCAGATGCTTGAAATTTTGGCCCAATCTTTGTTTAGGCATGCCATAGGGTGGGATTCATTTTTCGAATCTGATGTCAACTTCCTGTTTTATGGATGGTATCTGTCCCTATCAAATTTCCGTCACAGTTTCCTCAGCAACTACTCATTGAAGATGCTTGAAATTTTAGCACACTCTTTCTTTTGGGTGGCAAGTCATACGGTGGGATTTATTTTTGTGTGAATTGGATTTCAACATGAGGGGGTATATTCACTTCAGAGTGGGGGGTATTAGTAGAGAGCATTCACTCACAGACTTCTTGTTATGACTCTTTTGTTTGTGTATTTTTTTAACAATACTCTAATTTTCAGCTGTTGAAAGAAAAACAGAAGAGGATGAGAATCAGCTATGCTGCAGGACAGAAGAAAATGAAAGAAAAATACCTGGAAATAAAGGTATTTGACTTTTCTTTTGCTTATGAACATAAATATCTTCCTTAGAATTTCCTAGAATTCTCTGAGTCCTAGACTTGAGCATTAAAAACTTTTGGAACTCCTGTTTTTTGTGTTATAATTTGATTTTACTCCATTTACTCTCACAGCCTACCAATATCTGTCAAAAATTTAATCTATAAAACTTTACTTTTAGGAGAAAGAAGACCGACAACAAACAGATGAAAGTACTTCAAGCACCACTGGACAGGTAATTATTGCAATTAATTTACTATGTATTTAAAATATATGCATGCAATTAAATCATGTGTCATTGCTTAAAACAAGATTGTTATGATATCTAGGAACATTATTATTTTTATGTTGTAATAAGCTTTATATTGGTTCATCTGTGCCATGTGTCATAGATTAAGGATAAATAACACAAATCTTTTTTCTCCCCAAAATTCAAATATGTGCCTCTCTCACTTTATAAGTGAAATTAGTTTAGGCCATATTTTAAAAAAAAATTCAAATATTATTTTGTCAATCTTTATAAGATTTAGTATAACAAATGTAGCCCTTCAGTGCTCCAAATTGTGACTAAAGTGGTGGCATTTGCAACCAAAAAATCAATTTTGCGACTAGAAGTTAAAACTCGCATTTTGCGACTGAGAAACTTTGGACTGGCGATTGTCCATTTTTATGATCGGGATCGAGATAACTTTTTTCAAGATTCTCTATCAAGAAAATGTTTGAAGACCTAAAACTTTGTAAAGCATCACAAAGACTGAAATTACATAATGCTGTGACAGCATGTTGTATAGAACGGCTGCTAAATATTGTAGACTTTTTAAAAACCCAACCTCAGGGTTGGCAAAAAAGTGGGAAATACTCATATCTCACAGGACAGTGAGTCATAACAAGAAGCTTTACAGTTCTACTAAAGGTAATTCTCTCTCCAAGCATGATCACAAAATTATCCACAGTCAATTTGTTAATACAACATGTTTGATTGTAATAACTACAATGTTTATAGAAGAATTAAAACAAGTTTATTATGTTCTCAGATTCTAATTGATAAACTTTATAATTTTACTAAACTGAATAGAAACTTGAATCAGAAAACTTCAGTTTTGTTCTTAAAATACAATTACGAAAACATGTTCTGCTACATAAAGCTTATTGGTAAGGGATATACACTAAATATGTTAAATTGCAGTTAGAGACACATTCAGTTTTATTCACCTTCTGTTTTTTTTTTTTTTTTTTTTTTTTTTTTGATCATTTTATCTCTGAATTTTGTATTAGATTAGATAAATTTAAGAAATAAAAACCTTAAATTTTGTAATTCCCAGTTTAAAGAAAATTTGTAGTATTTACCGGGAAGGGAATATGGGTATTTATCATGGTAATTCCCACTGGTATTTCCTGGCCAACCCTACACAACCTAGTTATTAGAGCATATGTTCAATATTGCTTATGTATCATCATGTTTTGGCAATATTAACAGCAGCGTTTAATAGGTTAGGTACGTAGTAATAAATTAAACATAACTAACAGCTGACAAAGTCCAATCTCAAAGTTTCCACCAGATGCACACATCAGTCAAACTTGTAGCAATTCCATTTGATTTAACTTTTATTCTAGAATACTTGTGTTCACTTGTGTTCTTTTCTGTACACGTGGTTTTATGTAATAATATTTCACAATTGGTTCCTTGTTTAGTACCAACACAGTAATAAGTAATCATTGATTTAAAAGACAATATACATGTACATATTGATGAGTGAATGTTCTTTGCTTTTTTAATATACTTAATGTGATATTAACAAAATGTTTTCCCTTGGCGAGGCAAAAGTCTGTTGAGTGCGACCAGAAATTCTGAAATGGTGACCAAAAAAAAAATTTGGGTCACCATTTAGCAACCTGATAGTAAGTTTGACTTGGCGAACTGCCCTTGCATACTGTCAATCCTAAGATATATTGCTCTACAGGAAATCTTGCATTTGTGCGTAGTTGATATGCTTTTTTGTGAAGTCAATATGTTAATTAATCAACATCATTAAAATGCTATATATTTGTTCTACATCACTTGCTGATTAATTTGAATTTTAGATTGTATTTCCTCATCTTCACTTTAGGGCCATATCAGGGGTGAAACGATATGCCTCTTTCACGATACGATACATGTCGTGTAATTTTGTATCCGTTCAGTTATTTTCGATACGGTACATTTTGATATAAGGAAACAATGTTTTATGTTTTGTTTCACTGAATACTATCACTTAATCTACTCTCAAATTGGCTAGAAGAATTTGATTAGATTAAATGGACTGTTAAAAGATTATTTTACATACTATCAGTCCTCAAAAAGTTGTTTTTAAAATTTAACTATGCTGAGTATTGGTTTTACCTATGCCAAACCTGAATAAATAAAGATCCCAACTGAAAAATGAACCAAACCAAAGATGGAGATTTTTCACCCTGTATTAAACCGAGAAAAAAAAATAACGACGGCGAATCGATGCCGGGGGGAACTGTTTCAACCCTATTTCGGTAAGCCCATCATCAACAATGACGTTAACACAAATGTTTTATTTTATTTCTAGGAAAACAAGCAACAGAAAGAAGAAGACAACACCCAGAAGGAAAAAAAGCAGGTTAGACAATTTCATCTTTAATCCTCTATGATTTTAAAAATTTCTTGGATTTTTAAAATTTCCTGGTTTGCTTTACAACACAATGAAACAATTTTAGCATTACAACATGTACAAAGAAAAAATTGTCTGATTAAATTGAATGGAAGGTATTGAATTAAATGACATGGGCTAGAAATTATTATTATTTATTTATTTTTATATTTTTTTTTTTTCTTTTGGTTTACTGATCACTGGCTATTACATATTCGAAATAATCTGGGAGTCTAATGCCCAAGACCTGGTAAGGTTGCAGGTGGGCATGTAAAAAATGAAAAGTTGCATGCCCACCAGGATCTGTATATAATGTTTCTTTCCATTGAAGACTGGCTTTTGTGTAGACATATTGTATCCAGTGAATTGCCAGTCTATGCTTTTGGTTCTGTCATTTAATGTGTACATATTTCCCCCCTTTCCCTCTTTGATAATTTGTATTTTAGCATTTTTTTTAAATTGGAGAATAAGCTTAGAAAGTAGCAATACTTGTTTATTAAATTTAAATTTCTTCAAATAAAAGCATTGATTACCACATTGTTGTGAAGATTTATTGACCTTTCTTATCAGCCCTGTTTTTGCATGTTCGCAATAGTACCAAATAAATACATCAACAGCTGGTCCAGTGCTCCCACTGGAGCGAAAATTTTCGCCACTTTTCGCAAGAAAAGAATTGCATTCTTACATCTCATGTATTGACAACTGCATATATGCTATACACTCTATTAAAAGCTTTATTTCGAATTGTTTTTATCACAGACATTGTTTTAAAAATGTTGTGAAGATTAACTTAAATTTTTATTGGTCAACTGGTAACTGTCACTGTCCAGTGGGGATAGTTAGATATTTTAGAGGAAAAAAAAGCATTAAAAATCATACTACAATGATATCAGGTTTATATTTCAAATTTAATAAGCAAGTTTAAAAATCTCTACAAAGCACTACCCAAATCTAAAATATACAGGTCCCAGACCAGTGGGCTATAAATTATTTCAAGCTCTGATGGTATGATTATAAAAATCCTTAAAAATACATAATTCAGCAAAAACATATATGACACTTTTGCAGGACAAAGAATCACCCTCTAAAATCAAAGATATCCAGGAGGCTAGAAGTTATGATGAATGTCAGCAGGTACAAAAAGCTGTTAAACTTTCATGAATTGTCTTCAGCAATTGTTTCATTATAAACACGATGCAACAGTTCAATTGATATGTGTAATATTGTTAAAACATTATTCTTAAACATCAATGCTAAAATCATATGCTTGCAGCAAATTCAAAAAAGAGTCACATTTAGTCAAATGGAAAAAAATCAGTGTGTGTAATAAATTTGGTGAACTCAATCATAGTACCATATAGATCAAGAAAACAGTAAATACTGTATTGCTCTCTTTTTAGGTTGAAAAAACTTGTGAACAGACGCAAAGTGATGCTATTGAAGATGAAGAGACAAATGGTGATGCCAACAAAGAAAATGAACAGGTATAAATACCTTTAAAATGTAAGAGAAGAAAAATTTCACATACTTTGATCTATTTATGCTTTCAAAATTCAACTCTCATCACAAAATCTGTACAAAGGGCAGAGATTTTCAATTTTTTTAATCTTATCTTATTCCTAATCATGCCAACTTTGTTGTGAATTTTTGATTGGATGTGTCATTTATTGATAAGTACTGTATAAATACTTAATGATATTAAGTAGTATTATTAAGTAGTACATGTATACCATGTATACAGTTGTTATAATTTTTATTTTTATTTTCATAGACGATTTTCAAGATCAAGAAAATAACACACTCAGAGGTATGCCATATTAAAATCATTATAATCTCCAAGACTTTCAATAACACATTTTTTCAGCTTTGTTTTGTTTTTTTTTTTTGTTGTTGTTGTTGTTTTTTTCATACTGTAACATTCCTTGAAAATGAATAAGGCAAAATCAGTTGTGCAGTATAGATCTCTCTCTCTCTCTCTCCTCAAAACATCAGAATTATCAATTCTGATACTGTGGACTTAACAGACTCAGTTTTTTAAAACACTTTTTATGAATGAGTGGACTTAACTGGGATGTTTTAAAAGGAACTGTATGAACCATGTAACATGTAATAAGACTAGTGTACATTCAAGCAATTTTTATTCTTCAGACGCCAGTGAGATTTAAGAAAGGAGCACCATCAGAAGTAAGTCTACCACTGATTTACTCATCAAATGTCAAATATAACATTTTAGATTCATTTCCATTATTTTAAATATTTTCAAATATTTTGGCTTGTGCTTATCACAATATTTGCATATGATAACTGTATAAATTTATATTTTAGGATAGCAGCATTACTCGCCTCTTGAAGAAGTCAAGGATTGACAGAGTAAGACTTAACTTTTTTTTTTCATAAATTACTATAAAAGGAAATGAACTTTAGTTGCTGCCACTGAATAAAGTGAGCTTTTTTTTTTCTTCAATTTTTCATCAGACATGCCAGAATTTGAATTTTACTACATGTAATGCTCAAAGTGTGCATGTGAACATATTGTTTGTAAGTTTCAGTTTGAAAGTAACAGTTTTTTTTCAGTAAATCACAAATATCGAGTAATTTTTATCACATTAAAAAGAAAGAGAAAATCTGTCCAGTTATGACTGTAATTATCAAGGACCAACCTAGACCCCAAATTTAGGGACACATCACTTCTCTTAGAAATTTAGGAAGGGGTTTCTAATTCTAGAGAGACTTCTCAGTGTGGGCAAAACTCTGCATGGTGCACATTGTTCATTATTAAAACTATTAAAGTAGATATTAATTTTAAAAGTATATATTAATTTCATTAGTGTGGATCCACACCCTGGAATAAGAAAGATTATTAAATGGATATATTAAAGAAAACTTAATTTTTAGTCTGAAACAATTAATTGTGGTGCACCTGAATTGCAATGCACAGCATTCAATTCAATTTTTAATTCAGCAGCTTCAAATAATGATTCGGTTTATGTTTGCATATTTTTTGGAACAGGGATACACATAAACGGTTGTCGGATTGTCCAGGGCAAGTGAATTCTCAGTTTTACATGGGAATACATTGTAAAAAAAAAATTCTTCACCAGAACCACTGGGTCAATAAGGATGAAACTTATGTGGAAACATCCTCGGGTAGTGTAGATTCAAGTTTGTTCAAATCTTGACCCAAAGGAATAGGGTGGGGCCACAGTGGGGGATCAAAGTTTTACTTAGGAATATATTATACTGTCAAGAATAACAAAGCCATAATTGGTCATATGAATATGGAAGCATCCTCATATAATGTAGATTCAAGTTTGTTCAAATCGAGACACCAGATTAAACCACATTGACTCACATGAGTGTTGTGACCCATGGGCCTTTAGTGTTGTGTTTTAGTTTTTATTTGCTCTATTTTGCTTATTGTCAATTTGTCTTTTTAGAAATCATCCTGGTTGAGAAATTTAGAGGAAGTTATTTCCTCGGATGATGAAGAAGATCTTCGCCTTTCAAAAGAAGAGTTAATGACCAAATGTCAAATGCAAGCCTTTGAACTACAAAAGAGATCAAAGGAAATTAGAAGATTGTCCCAGGAAAATGAAAATTTACGTGCCGCTCTAGGACTTGCAAAAGGTAGGCTGTTTCACTCATACCCTAGTCACAGTAAAGCTAGGGTTATTCCAGTGCAATTGTCTGAGGGGGGTTGAAATGCCACTAACACGCCCCCCCCCCCCCCCCCACACACACAAATTAGAATTTTTACTGGAATATTTCCTACATTACAAAGAAAAATTACTGCTATATTTTTTTTATCAAGTTACAAGCATGAGACAGGTTGTTTCTTAGAAACTTTTTCATTCATCAGCTTTTACTGTTTTACTTTTACTTTTATAGAGCAAAAAGCTCTATGATATAATTTTAAATGATTTAAAATTAATGTACATGTATATATTATTTAAAATTCTAAAATAATCGTGATTTCATACGTAACTAATTTGAAATACTTATGCCGATTTGAATTTGTATTCATGAGCAAGCAAAATTTTATGGATTAGTGGGATGTAATTTCTTGGGGAATTTTTTTATACAAAAGGGGCAATGTGTCTATATATTGACAAAGTATTCATTTTTGGGGATGTATATAAGTTGGTATGAGGTGACCCACAAAATCCATGAACATTGGTCCTCCCGAAGGATGATTCCACAGTATCTGACAATATCTAAAAAGAGACATTCCAATTCAGATGTAATCAGTATTGAATATCTTATTATTTTAGAACTTCCAGAACTTCTTCAGAAAATTAGGAGGCTGAAGAGTTCCCCTACACCCTCCCAAGCACTAAGCCATCTGCTGTGTTGTCAACACCAAAGTCTACATCTCCAACGCAGGGCTTGGGAATAAGAAGAGCTCCATTAGAGGCCATCTCACCTATGACTCCAGAAAGTGAAAATGGAGAAGAGGTATTGATTATTGGAAAATTTTTAATGGTAATATTAATTCACAGTTAAATATTTTAGTCTCTTTTGGCTTAAGAACAAAATTATCTTGCACAGAGGCATCAAGATATAAAAATTTGGAATAATATGTTTGGTCAGGAATGTATATAATATTAATTCACAGTTAAATATTTTAGTCTCTTTTGGCTTAAGAACAAAATTAACTTGCACAGAGGCAGGAAGATTTAAAAATTTTGAATAATATGTTTGGTCAGGAGTGCATTAAAAAAAATGGAAATTAAGAGGCAAATTAGCTTCTATGAAAATTTAAACTGCATGCTCTCAGTGAAATCTAGGGACCAACACAGCATTTAAACTGTGAAAAATATATGTACATACTTCCATTTATATTATACTTCCTGCATTATTAGTCCCCTACCGGTGAAACCGGAGGGGACTATAGGTTTCCTCTGAGTCTGTCCGTCCGTCTGTCCCTCCCTCTGTCTGTCTGTCAGTCTGTCCCACTTGGTTTTCTGCACTTTTTTTCTAAACGCTTGCAGATATTGAGCTGATTTTTGGTATTTGAGTGTATCTTGATAAGTTAAGATCAAGTTTGCATTTTGTTCCACTTCATCGATTTTTGACGGAATAATGGCATTTTCAGTTTTTAATGGGAATCAGATTACACTTGCCAGTAGGGGACTAGTATTGCTAATGCAATACTCTCAGAATGCTTGTTTCACCTTCATAAGCACCTTGATTTTTGTAAAAATCCATTGATGCCAATTTTCCATCTGTGCACAAGGCAGTATATCTTCTTTCAGTGAATGATTAAAATATAACTTAATTATATATGCTCAACTTCTGAATGGGTGTAAATGGTATGGCTTTCCCTATATCTGTCCATCTGTTTTAGGAGTTTGTGGCTGGGTCACAATTTGAACGTAGAACCACCCATCTTGGTCAGCTATTTCATTTTTGGGAGGGCGTTTCTTTTAATCCTTAAGTAGGTTAATACCATGGCGTCAATTTTGAATTATTTGACTGTTTCTGCATTATATTTTGCAGTCTGTAGGGTTAAGGGGCCAGTTTTAAACTTGGTGGTTCATTTCATTGCATATTTTCCTCTTAAGTGGCCACTTGGCCCATTTTGCTCAATACACTTGTTTTGTCACATGAGTATGTTTCTTACATGAAACAAGACAATTAAGTTGAAGTGATATATGTTTTTAACGTACAAAGGTCAAACTGAGAATGTGTTAAGGTAATATAAACTTTTGATCTTCAAACTTATCAAGGTTATTAACACATTCCAGTGACCTTCTTTAATTAGGGTCCCACAAATATTTATCATTACAACTGTCAGTTCATCAGTCTGTCATTCTGTCTGTCCACTAAATTTGTCTTTGAATTTTACAACTTTTTACTTTACTAAATGTTAAATCAGTGCAGAGTTTGATTTTTTTGAAAATTAATATAATTTGACTTTAAAGCATTGATTTTAAAGCTGAATTTTGAAGCCACCTATCTTAATTGGTTAGTTTGTCATTTTCCCATTATGTGCAGGTGCAACTGTAATTACGCTACTGCTAGGTGAATTTTCCAGATAGTGGTTGTTTATGCATCTTATATATACTATGGGAATGGTCATTTATCTTATAACCTTATACAGAAATAAATAATATAGACTCAAAGGTTTTATAATTTATAATTAATATCAGCTTTTAATATGAAAATTCCTGTTAACTTCAGGAATTATCTCTTATATCTGTAAGAAATTTCACCTTCTTAAAGGGAACAAAATGAATTTTGTCATTAAATTGGAGATAATTTTTACAGGTGATACATTTTGGCAGTACCTGCATCTCAGCTAAAAAGCTAAGGAGCAATATTGGTTCGAGGTACAGCCATCTTGTCAATTTCATAATGGAGGAGATTTTCACAGAGGAGGAGATGGCTGAGTGTAGCCTGACTGGTTCAAAGGGAAGAACCAAAACAGAAGACATTAAGCCTGCGCTGGATGCTGATAAATTAGCAGACATCATTTGTAAGCCATTTC